CATAGATAGTTAGATTATAAATTGAGATCTTTGATATAAAATTTGGCTATGATTCGCTTTGGCTATTCCTCATATATCATTTGCAATTATTTAGATAATTTGTTCTATAAAGTTCTTCAATGTGCAGCTCTGACTAGTTAAGAATGAAACTATTTAAATTCATTTTTCATCACTTATGCAAAGTCGAATTGGGCTTTAAGCTTAGCTTGAAATAATGTTTTCATGGCTATATTTGGTCTATATGCTGCTGTTTATGGATTTGACAACTATTTGTGGGGCAAATAGAATTGAGCATTGAACTGGCTGGCGCACACTGAATGTTGAATGCTGAATGCAGAATGTTGAATTGTTTGGCTGGCGCAACACATTCGTTTGCAATCAATAAACATCGCGTATACGCAATGTGTGCCAACTGGCTGCAAAGACGCAGCCGCAGGCACAACGCGCACACAACCGACACACAAACAGTGGCGCAATTCATAAATTTTGAGCAAAGGACATGCCAGACACATTGCCCGGGACGGTAGCACCTGTCCTGCCACTCACACCTCGCACATGTTGAACGCGTTTTATTTTCAGTTTTTTTTCAGAAAAGAGAAAAAATTGGATCAATATTTTCGCAGCAGCAGCAGCAGCCCAAGATGTTGACATGGCAGGCTGTGTGTGTCCTTGCAAGGACAATTGTGTGTGCCATTGTTGTTAGCCGTCGCGTGTAGACTGTGAGTGGGTGTGTGTGTGGTAGTGTGTGTCCATGTCACAGTTTTTCAGTTTTGCAGACCTTTCGGGGCATACTTTTTTCTCTCAGTTTCTCGTTTTCTTTTTGCGCCGCCCAACTTGACCCCAGCTAAGCAGGCAGCATAAGGCCCTGCACTGCTAGCACTCAAGTGGCAATTAGGCTGGCCTGCAACCAGCCAAATACCGACTGCCAATCAGCCTCAGCCATGCCCCAAACGCCAAGTTCCGCTGCGAAAATTAATACGCCAAATCGTACGCTATTTTACCTTGAAAATGGGCAAGCAGAAAATAAAACAACAAAATATCAACAAATTGCGGCCAATGGCAGAATTGTTTAAACCCAAAAACCGAAAGGCCATAACAAACTGTAAATTGTTTACAAATCGAACCGAAAACTAATTGCGTTTAAATTAAAAAAATAAAGTATTTAAGAACTGAGAGGAGCATATTAGTTGTGCAGGAAGGTGCGTGCCTATGATCGATTGAAATATGAAGTTTTCCTTATTTAATAGTGAAGTTGTGGACAAAAGGGGGCGTAGCATGGATTACAGTTAGAAAGTGTTTTCAATTGCCAGCAATTTTTCTCAAAGATGGCATCAAATTGGTATTTTTTTGAAAGGCAAATCAATATATAAAATAAAAGTTTAGCAATCGTGAGCGAGTATGAATCAGTCAGTAGCATACGTTTATATTCTTACATTCCTGATTTCACAAAGATCCAGCTGCTAAGTTATAGAGATCTTAAGATGCGAACGCAAGTAATCTCTATCTTTCAATTAATACAGCGTGAGAGAGTATTAATCAGTGAGTTCCATGCGAATACCAAACTCTTCCATTGAATTATAGTGATCGAAAGATACAGTTCTTCAGATACGTGCACTATAGGCGTGTTAAAAGGAAACTGTTGGAAGATTAGACCAATAGTCAATAGTGAACCATTATTAATCAGTCAGCTGCATGCTTTGATTTTTGGGATTCTCAGATTTCTGGGATGCGCATCGATCAAGAACCCAGAAATATATGTATTTAAAGATCGCGGACGTAATATACACTTGCTACTTCACACCTGCTAATCCAGGTCGAGCGCGTATTGGGCAGTCAGTGGCAAATGTTTACAACATTTTTACACGTTTTTGTTTTGTTTAAATTTTCCGGCGAATTTCTTCGGCAACACAACAATTTACTATAAAATTGCCAGCTAGCAAAGAATGTGCTGGCGCTGCTCAATTTTCCAACAAAATGATGATGAGATGTGTCTGTTGCGGACATTGATGGTGCCTGGAGGGGCGGGCCGACGGGTGGCTCGCCAGCCGCCTAAAAGCAGACTGCCATTTGGCCAACCAAAATTCAAATGAGCGCTGGGCAGTTGGGCAGTTGGTAAAGCGACCACAGTGCCTGGCGAAAAATTGCCTCGGCTTTGATTAATTAACTTAAAACAGCTATTGACATAAGCCTGCATACAAACAAACACACACACACACACACACAGATAGAGCGCATGACAGTGGCATAAATTTAATTGAATTGTGCGGCGTGTGCCGCGTGTCATGTGGCATGACCTGCATTTGACGCACGCTGCCTTTTGCATGGCCATTAACGAGCTGCGGCAGATAAGCTACAGCCAAAATATATATACGTTGAATATATACATAAATGTAGACGTACATATCTAAGTACGTGTGTCTATATTTAGACATTGTTTAGACTGCAAATAGATAAAATTTTGACAGTTCACGCGGTTGTTGGCTAGGTATTTTATTTATATTGACATTGTGTGAATCAATATATTTTATAGATTATATTAATACATTTTTTATATGAAAATACAAGTGTGTATATAATAATTCCCCATGTAGCAATTCATATTTAAAAGCCTAATCAATTTGACTTTTGTTTGATAATTCAATAAAATAAATAAATAAATAAAAAAAAAACTATTAAATAAACAAATTTCAATAAATTTTTTAATATATTTTTTTTTTTTAAATGTGAAAATCTTAAAAATATCACATTTCTTTCAATTTCAATTTAGTATAAATATTTTATAAAAATATACCTTTATTTTTAATATACATATATCATAGATATATACTTATTTGCAATAGAGTGAATTTAACATTCGCGATACTTCATTAACGAACCTCGCAAACATCTCGATTTCCCGCGAACTCAACAGCCTTTGAGCCCAAATTTAAATTGGATTAAAACTTTTGTATGGCT